AAATAAAATGTTAACTGGTATAATTTGATTTTATTACATAAAAAAATTTGAACTTAACATTTTTTTTTATTAAATTTAAATAAAAATAAAATGTTAACTGGTATAATTTTTTTTTAAATTACATAAAAAATAAAATTAATTTAATTTAAATTAATTTAAAATTTAAATGAAATAAAATGTTAACTGGTATATATTTTTTTAAATTACATAAAAAAATGTAATTAAATAAAAAAAATAAAAATGAAATTATTAATTTTAAATTTAAAGGTTTTTTTATAGTTTTTAAAATGAAGCATCTCATTTTCATTTAGTTTTACTTGATGTTCTAAAATAACTGCAACACAAATTAATAAAAAAGCTACATAAACGTTTTAAAACAACAAAAGTCATAAAAAATAACAAACACACCAAAAGTACAAGTAAAATAAACATAGCAGTAGCACAATAACAGGAGAAATCAATGGCATCTTCCCATATAATATCTTATCAATATTACATGCAAGATATTAATTAAAGGTGTAAATATTTGTTCTGTCAACAAATTCTCCTCAAAATATCATTATTTTAATGCAAAAACGATACTTTTTTTTTTTTAAACATTACATTGAAAATAGGCCATGAACTTGTATTATGCACAAGAAATGAATGTATAATGCACTGGGCATCATAAACTGATTCATCATCAAATCATAATTCTGCGTTGAATTTTCATTGTCATATTGATGCATTAATCATTAATATTCTATTATTACACAAACGTAAATGTCCCAGTTTGAGATTATTTGCTGAAAAAATTACATAAAAGTGTGTTACATTAAATAAAATGAAATATAAAAAATAAACTTATTTTATTTCAGCTAGTTGCCAAGACATTAATTCTAATTTTCATTTAGTTGAATTTGATGAACTAAAATAACCAAATGATAATGAAAATAAAATCAAATAAAAAAAAAAAATTAACTAAAATCAAAAGAAAATATTAAATTAAAATATAAAAACTAATTCAAAACATAAATAAAAACTATAATAGTATCTCAGCGATATTAAAATAACGGTGTCTCTACCTAATATTAAAAAAAAAAAGTGACAACAATGAAAACGCCAAAAATGAAAGTTTTGGTATAATAATAATAAGAGAGACTGATTATTATGCAAATACTGAACATCTGCTGGATGGAATCATCAGACAGTTCCTCAGAGAAGAACAGAGCCAGACAGAAAACACTAGAGGAAGAGGAAGAGGAAGAGGAAGGAGGTGAGACAGGAAACGCATCATCACCTGATTCTCTTTGGCCGAGGACTCCATGAACGCTGCGTTCCACGATTCTGCCAAAGCTTT